TTTTCTTTCTTTCTTCTTTCTTTTTCTTTTCTTTTCTTTCTTTTTTTTAAGGATGCTTAATATGGGCCCTCAATCTCTTCTGGCTTGCGAGGTTTCTGCCAAGTCGTTCATGGTTAGCTTGACAGGATTCCTTTTGTGTATGACTTGTCCCTTCTCTCTAGCTACTTTTAAGATGTTGTCTTTCACATTGATCTTAGAGAATCTGATGACTATGTGTCTTGGGGATGGTCATCTTTTATAGCATCTTGCTAAGATTCTCCAAATTTCTGAATTTGCATGCTGACCTCTCTAATGAGGTTGGGGAAATTTTTGTGGCTAATATCCTCAAATATGTTTTCCATGTTGCTTGCTCTCTCTCCATCTCTTTCTGGGATTCCAGTGAGTCATAAATTTGGTCTGTTTACATAATGCCGTATTTCTTAGGGATTTTGTTCATTTTATACAATTCTTTTTTTCTTTATTTTTGTCCGAGTTGATATGAAGAACTGGTCTTTGAGCTCTGAGATTGTTTCCTCAGCTTTGTCTATTCTGCTGTTAATACATTTGGTTGTATTATGAAATTCTTGTAGTGGATGTTTCAGCTCTAGAAGGTCAGTTTGATTATTTCTTGAAATGGCTATTTCGTCTTTCAGCTCTTGTATTGCTTTAATGTATTCCTTAGATTCCTTGGATTGGGTTTCACTTTTCTCCTGAATCTCAGTGATCTTCATGGCCATCCAGATTCTCAATTCTATGTCTATTATTTTAGCCATTTCAGTTTGGTGAAGAACCATTGCTGGGGAGCTAGTGCAATCCTCTGGAGGTAAGAAGATACTCTGGCTTTTAGAGTTGTTGGAGCTCTTGCACTGGTTCTTTCTCATCTCTGTGGGTTGATGTTCCTTAAATGTTTGAAGTTACTGTCTTTTTTACTTTTATAGCCTTTGATGCCCTTGAGGGTTTGACTGTGGTATAATTTGGTTTTAGTGGATTGGCTTCATTTCTAGATAATTTCAGGGCACCAAGGTGCAGGTTAACATTCCTGGGCTGCATGCTGCAACCCTTGGGGGCTGGGACTAGGCCCTCAGCTTTTTCCTTTTTCCCCTCCAGGTTAAGCACCTGCTGTGCTGGAGGAGTCAAGGTGTTCCTGGTTCACTGGCAGCAACAGTCTGGAGGGTGCTGGCAAAAATGCTTTCGTGGGTCTGTGGGGATTCCCCTACACGTGTGTGCTGGCAGCCACCACCATACTTGAAAGGACAGGACACACTGCAAGAAGGGCTGGATCTTTTGCAGGTGGACACATTGGTGATCTACGGCTAAATTTGCCAAGAAGGCCTGCCTTCTTAGGGCTTCACAGTATACTTGTTTTATTTGCTTTCTTTTTTCTTTGATATATTTAGAAGATACTAAAAAATAATATCTTAGGCATCAATAGTCCATACTATCTATAATGTAACATTTGTCACGTGTGCTCTGGGAGCTGGGTGGTGGTGGTGGGGTCACTGTGCACATGTGTGTCCCCTGGCAAAGCAGCAGGGGATGCTTTGGGCAAATGTGCACGGTGAATCAGTGCTGGGAGGCTCTGGGTAGGTGCACACCAGCAGGGGCCCATTTGCAGGAGCTCTCCAATTGTTAGGTGATATCTGCCAGTTAAAGAACTATGGTGGTGGCTGCTAGCAAGCTTCTCAGCTGAGCAGCTGATGCCACATGGCAAGCAGGTGCAGCCAGGCAGTGACCCTGGGATAGGCCAGCAGACAGGGGTACTCAGATCAGACTTACCCCCATGGGCAAGATAACCCTGCTCTGTTCAGGTCCAGTACTCAACGATGTCTAAAGCCACCTGGAGGAGTATGGGGAGCCTGGGATCGTGTGTCCTCCTGCAGCTAGGGTTATGGAGGTCCATTGTGAGAGCTGGCCACTCCATCCCTATTTCACTCACCACTTCCTCAGGAGCCCCTTGGGGCCACAAACAAGCCTTCATGCACCCAAACCTGTGCAGGGTTCCCAGCTTTTTCCTCTTTCAGAGCAGGGTCTGTGTCCTCTCTGCGTCTGTTCCCAATGTCTTTTTTCTGAACATTTGTTCAGAGTGTGCTGATTCTCTTGATGGTCTGGTCTTTGGTGCGAGAAGCTCTTCCTGTCTGCATCTAGTTGGCCATCTTGGCGCCTATGAAAACCATGGTAATATTTTCGAATTGATTCTCTAACTCATTTCCCTGCTTCCGGGTGTCCTAGCATATTAGCTACAGATCTCTCAGTACCTGCAGGTCACAGGGTGACAAAGGCTATGGCAGAGTCATTTAGGCCTCCTGGAGCATAGGACGTGGAGCAGTTGAGACCAAATTTCAAGCTCTGACTGGAAGGAGAGATCTCCATCTACATTCTTGATCTCAGCAGTTCTCATCATTGTTACCCATTTGATTTGACCAGGTTGTTACTTTCTTCTCTACCAGCAAATGCTATATTCTCTTCATTAATCCCTGTACTTACATGGTCTCTTAAGAAATAAGCAGGCACTTAATAAATGTTTGTTGAGTCAATGAAGAAATTCTCCCTACTGTGGCCAACATCAGGATACTCCTCCTTTTTCTCTGTTCTCATACACTTATAGGCAGAAAAATTTTGTGTCTTACAAGTGAAACAGGTATCTGGCCATATAGGAAGACAGGCAGTGGGAGAGTGAACAATGATGTAACAAGATTGGGTGAACAAGGCCGGGCACAGTGGCTCATGCCTGTAATTCCAGCACTTTGGAAGGCCGAGGCGGGTGGATCACGAGGTCACGAGTTTGAGACCTGCCTGGTCAACATGGTGAAACCCTGTCTCTACTAAAGATAAAAAAATTAGCCAGGTGTGGTGGCAGGCGCCTGGGCCTGTAATCCTAGCTACTTGGGAGGCTGAGGTAGGAGAACTGCTTGAGCTCTGGAGGCGGAGGTTGCAGTGAGCTGATATTGCACCGCTGCACTCCAACCTGGGCAACAGGGCAAGACTCTGTCTCAAAAAAAAAAAAAAAAAAAAAAAAATTGAGTGAGCAAAAGAGATTGCTGAGGGAGGGATGCCTATATGACATTTTGTGCCTAAACCCTGGTGGAATTTTAACTATAAAGTTTTGAAAGCTCAGTGAAGCTAGGCATAATAATATGAAAGCTATAAAGAGTTTTTGATTTAGCAAAAGGTGAGATAATACTTTTGGAGCAGCTTGTTCTTTTGTTCTAGGAAACCACTGGAAAGGACATATGAAAAAGTAAAGCAGAGATTATGTGAAAAAGCAAGATTTGAAAAGGAAATATTTGACACACTATGACTCCAATTAATCAAACTGCTCTCTGTAAGAATGAAAACTATTGTTTTTCTAAGTATGAACTTGGGTTGCACTAATGTTGAAAACTGTTTCTTGACTCTGTAAGTGTATGTGTGCGTGTGTGTTCTTGTTCATTGATGATGAAGCAGCAGTTTTATTAGATATGTTATGAAGCTGTACTATTTGGGGGCTCAGATGACAAGTGTGGGGTAAGGAATATTCCCGCTACTGGTGGCACCCAGCACCGCAAGGCACTTTGAGGATAAGTGGCTTTTTCAAGATCTGAAGGCAGCACCTGTGACAAGAAAGGGCATTAGTCATCAAGTAAATAGGGCTCCTTCAAAGAGCCTCATGGACAGTGGATGAAATAAAGGAAACCAGGAAAGGTCTGTTTTGATGGACTAGTGGGTGAGGATATATAGTCATTTCTTTAGAGATTCCCAGAAATACTTGAAGGGACAGGACACACTGCAAGAAGGGCTGGATGTCTTGCAGGTGGACACTTTGGTGATCCACGGCTAAATTTTCCAAGAAGGCCTGTCTTCTTAGGGCTTCACAGTATACTTGTTTTATTTGCTTTCTATTTTCTTTGATATGTTAAAAATATACTAAAAAATAATATCTAGGTGTCAATAGTCTCACCATCTTTAATGTAACATTTGTCACATTTGTTCTCAATATTTCTTTTAATAAAGAAAATATTACAGGGATAGCTAAAATCCCTTGGAACCACCAATCTCAGGTTCAATTCTATTCCTCTGCTCTTTGGAAGCAACCACTATTATGAGCTCAATGTGTATTTAATAATCTCAAAAAGTAATGTCATATATATGTGGACACTTAAGCAATGCGGTAAGTTTAATTTTTTTTGCTTTAATTTGCATGTGTCATCTTTTAATGTAATTTTGTCTCTGTAAACATCATTTTGCATCTGGCTTGTTTCATTCAACAGTATGGTTAGAGGTCTTTTCCTTGGTCGTATGTACATAAAAACATATACAACAGTTACATTAACACATATACTATATGTTAATTCATTTTGAACTGTTTAATTTATTTTTGATTTTTTATTATTAAAAATAGTGTCACAACATTCTTATTTGTGTCTTCCTGTATAAATATGTAAGACTTTTCTCTAGGGTTGTTACCCAGAAGTAGAATTTATGGGCTATTGTACATATTTACTTTAATACTAACAAATTTGTTCAGAGAATGAGAGTTTCTACTTCAGCAAACAGCCTAATAAATAATTGATCTTGTCCAGCTTTAACATTTTTGCCACTACATTTTGAGAAAAGTAGTGTCTCATTTTTTACATTGTAGTTTTTGATTATTAATGAGATCTAATAACCTGTCTTATGTTCATTAGGCATCCAGTATTCCTATTTTGTGAAATGTGTATTCTTATTAACTCATTTAATTTCTTTTTCTTACTGATTGTGGAATTTTATGTTTTCAATACTGATAACATTGATTTTATACATGTTGCAAATATTTCCTCTCAGACTGCCTCTTGTCTTTTAAACTTGTATATAGTATATTTTGTCAATAAGAAATTTTGCATTTTTTTGTGAATATTTATATTTGGTGTTTTCTGAGTCTTTTAATGGAAAGCTTCCCTATCTGAGAGCATACATCTATTCTCCTACATTTATTTTCAAGTAGTGATGGAGCTTATGTTTAGATATTTAATATGCCTGGAACTTCATTTTTTTTTTTTTTTTTGAGATGGACTCTTGCTCTGTCATGAGACTGGAGTGCAGTGGCACAATCTCGGCTCACCGCAGCCTCCACCCGCCAGGTTCAAGCTATTCTCCTACCTCAGCCTCCCAAGTAGCTGGGACTACAGGTGTGCGCCACCATGTCCGGCTAATTTTTGTATTTTTAGTAGATACAGGGTTTCACCATGTTGGCCAAGAAGGTCTCGATCTCTTGACCTTGTGATCTGCCCACCTTGGCCCCCCAAAGTGCTGGAATTACAGGTATGAGCCACCACACCTGGCCTTATTATTATTATTATTATTATTTAACAGAAAGATACTTAATTGTTTCAAGACAATTTGTTGGATTCTCCATCTGTTATGAGCTCAACATTGTCTTTAGTAGGGGTTGTCTCTAGGCTCTTAACTCTATCATAATGATTTATTTAGTCCTGTGCCAACACTACATATGTTCAGTCATTATACCTAATCAAATGCCTTTAGAGTCAAATATAATGCCTAGGGTGAGTCTCCTTTTCTGAGAACTTTACGTTTAGAAATGTGTTATTTTTTCTTGGATCTTTTCACTTCCATATGAATTGTAGAACTGACTTGTCAAGATCCACAAAAAATCCTTCTGGGAATTTTAATTCAAATTTTATTAAATTTAAAAATTACTTAAGGGGGAACTGACATTTTTGTATTACTGACTTTTCCTATCTTTGAATATGGCTTATCTCTCCATTTGTTCAGGTTTTATTATTATTTTTTGTTTGAGATGGAGTCTCGCTCTGTCTCCCAGGCTGGAGTGCAGTAACGTGATCTTGGCTCACGCAACCTCCATCTCCCAGGTTCAAGCGATTCTCCCACTTCAGCCTCCCAAGTAGCTGGGATTACAGGTGCCCGCCACCACACCCAGCTGATTTTTGTATTTTTAGTAGAGACGGGTTTTACCATGTTGGCCAGGCTGGTCTCGAACTCCTGACCTAAGGTGATCTGCCCACCTTGGCCTCCCAAAGTGCTGGGATTACAGGTGTGAGCCACTGCGCCCAGCCAGGTTTTTTTTTTTTTTTTTTAAAGATCTGTATTGTCAATAAAAACTGGAGGCAAATTGGAACTGAGAAACATTTTCCTTTTCTTTTTTTAGGTTGCAGTGCTTACAAGCAAGTCCTGTCTTCAGAAGAACTGGCTCATTTAATAAGAGACATAGCAGGAGTTTAAGGGGTGTAATCTATACAGTTAGTTTGCCAATTATTCTCCTTGGTGGAAAAATAATTCTCCATCATAATTATACACTGGCAAGGATCACTACACATTTGTATGACAGTGAAACAGCAAAATGACTAACATAAACTCTTTTTTTGTTTAAGGGACCTCTACCCATTCCTCCACGTAGACTAGGACAATTTTAGAACACAGATAAAATGTAAAAACAGCAATCACGTAGTTTTTGAAACTAACTTTGTGACTAAGGGGGATGTCTGTAAACAACTAATTATGTTTTGTTAAAGATTTACAGGAGCATTGTGACCTGACCAAGGACTCTTGCCAGCACCCAGATCTCTGTATTCCTCAGTCACCTCTTGATTCTAACTCCTGAGCATAGTTTCCCCATATTGGCTTCCCACAAAAACCCTCCAGCCAGCCTGAAAGACTTTAGATGGATGGTACTTTACCATGCTAGTTCTCCATCTTCTGAGTTTGCTGGCTCTCCAATTTAATCTGCTTTTCTTTTCTTTTTTTTCTTTCTTTCTTTTTTTTTGAGATTGAGTCTTGCTCTGTTGCTCAGGCTGGAGTGCAATGATGTGACCTTGGCTCATTGCAACCTCTGCCTCCTGAGTTCAAGCGATTCTCCTGTCTCAGCCTCTTGAGTAGCTGAGATTCCAGGCGTATGCCACCACACCCACCTAATTTTTGTATTTTTAATAGAGATGGAGTTTCACCATATTGGTCAGGCTGGTCTCAAACACCTGAACTCGTGATCCACCCACCTTGGCCTCTCAAAGTGCTAGGATTACAGGCGTGAGCCACTGCGCCTGCCTGAATCTGCTTTTCATCCCACAAACCCTTGTGTCTCATGTCTGGCTTTTCAGCAGCAAGCAACCAAACCTGGGTTCGGTTACTTACATTTGTATGTATCAATATTGTAAAAATCAGCACTAAAATTGTTTCCATTAGGAAGCCAGCAATGCAAAACATGTGAACTTAAGCCTTTATTTTAGGTTCCAGTGCTAAATGGAACTACTATTCAATTTAAGAACATATAAGCCTAGCTGTTCCTCCCTCCCTCCCTCCCTCCCTCCCTCCCTCCTAACCTCTTTCCCTTTTCCTCCCCCTCCCTTGCTTCTGGTTTTTCTTTCTTCTTTTTTCACCTGCTGCCATCCTCAGTTTATCTCATGATACAAAGTTTTTTTCTGACTGTCATATGTAACATCAAATACTCAGGCAAAATGGATGATTTGGCTAGGCTAACAAAGTGTTCATTTTGCAGTATTTCCATTTTTTTAGTGGATTTTCTTATGGTTTTGAGGAATTTTGCTGTCTGTCTACATTTCTATTTTGTTCTTTGTATTGTTAGTGCTTTTCCTTTTCTTTATTTAATTTTGTTGATTATTTTAAAATACTTTTAATTTCATTAATTTTTGCCTAATAATTGTAGGATGTTTTATTATTGTGTCCTACTTTTGGGATTTTTCCTTTTTTTAAAAATATTATTGTGAGCTCAATGTTTGGTTCATCTATTATTATTAATGAATACTTTCTATTGAAACCACTTACCCTAATAATTTCTCTCTAAATGCTGTTTTGGCTGTATCCTAAGTGTTTTGATAAGTGATGATTTTATACTGGCCGATTACAGCCCCATAGCAGGCCTGTGCACGCTGTACTTGTTCCTTTCACCTGAAGCACATTCCCCTTTCTATACCATCTTTCTTTAGTCTGTTACTCTTCCTATTGTCTACATGAATTTATCTGCATGACATTTACTATATGTATACTTGCTGTTATTTGCCTGTTTTATCTCAACATATAAACTCCTGAAATGCAAGGGCTTTTCTTGCTCATGGCTGTATTTCCAGTGCTTAGGATAATTCCTGGCCTAGAATAGGCCAATATACATTTGTTGAATACATATATTTGTTAAATGCATTAATATCTTTGAAGACCCTTTTTTTTTCTTTTAGTGTTTGACTTGTTCAATGCTGTTAGGTTTTTTGTTTTAGTCTTCTTCAGATTGCTCTATCTAGTTATATTTCTCTGGGTTGGAATTCTCCAGTTTGCTGGGGCTCGTGAGGTATCACTCACATGGTGCTGGATTTCCTCATAGATTTCATAACTTTTAGTAGTTTCTTATTCCTTGGGGGCCATCTTTTGTGGATGTTCTATGATATAAATGCCCTGGCTTGTGGCTCCCTTCTTGGTGGCTATTGTCCTAACTTCCTGGGTATACTGTCACTGAACCAGATCCCAGCTGTTTTGACTTGGAATATTATGCACACTGCATGGGTAGCACACCTCCAGAAGGGCTCTGCATCCTGGAGAGATCTAACTCTGGACCTGTGTGGGTGACTCTGTTTTTATGCCTGGGGCAGATGGGTGAAGATATTTTGGCTCCACTGCATAAGGTGACAGTGTATTTTCTGCTACTGGCTTTACTCAGAGAGGCCTAATTTCCGTTTTCTGCATGTTGGATCCCAAGGCTTTGGCTGTCATCTGGGAGCAGGTGTTGAAACCCTACCTTTGTTCCCGAGGCAAAGCTGCCACCTCTATTTCTTCATCCCCTCACCGTTCCGCCAAGAGCTTAACTTTAGCTTTTTCTTAAAATGTGTTCCTATATTCGATTTCTGCTCCTTGGAAATCATTCTTATCCCCCTTTTTATGCTTAAGCTTGGCTGTATATTTTTCACTTGAAAATATTACCAGCTAACACTTTTTAAACTTTCCTTTGAAATTCAGGGCACATGTGCAAGTTTGTAATATAGTAAGCTTGTGTCATGGGGGTTTGCTGTACAGATTATTTTGCTACCCAGATATTAAGCCTAGTTATTTTTCCTGATCCTCTCCCCCTCCCACCCTCCACCCTCTGACAGGCCCCAGTGTTTATTTGTCCCCTCTGTGTGTCCGTGTGTTCTCGTGTTCTCATCATTTAGCTCCCACTTAAAAGTGAGAACATGCAGTATCTGGTTTTCTGTTCCTGCATAAGTTTGCTAAGGATAATGGCCTGAAGTTCTATCTTTGTTCCTGCAAAGGACGTGATCTCATTCTTTTTTTGGCTGCATAGCATTCCACAGTGTCACCTTTTCTTTCTTCGGTCTACCATTGATGGGCATTTAGGTTGATTCCATGCATTTGCTATTGTGAATAGTTCTGTAATGAACGTATCTGTGCATGTGTCTTTATGATAGAACAGTTTATATTCCTTTGAGTATATACCCAGGAATGGGATTGGCCAGCCAACACTCAGGTATCCAAAAAGCAGGTGGCATAATCCCTACTTACTTAGGCATTTTTAAAAAATCCTCTCTACTGGGTTTATATCTTTTGGGTCTTGGATTTTTACATCTTTTTCCTGCCCATACTCTCTGATGACTTCTCTGAAAAGGATGCAATGCATTCAATTTGGATTCTGGCTTGTAATTTCTAGCTTTGAGACCAATAATCCCTTCTCCTGACCTCAGGTGGGCGTTGGTCCCTGTTCCCAATTATAGGGTCTGTGCCCACACATGGGCATATGGATCTTGCAGGCTCATCCCTGGGTCTGAGCCACTGTCTCTGTATTTTCATTTGTGTAGTGAGAATATTTAGCTGATCGGCCTCTGCTCTGGCTTCAGAAAGATGTGTGGATGAGGACTTTGGAGAGACACTGGCTAATTCTGTGTTAATAGCTCTGATTCTCCTCCCTCAAATACTAATGTCTTTGTCCTAACATTATTGAAATTAGTAAAATGTTGTTATTATGAAAACTGTATCCAGAGTGTGTTTAGATGGAACTAGCGGGGAGTATATAAGCATGTTTGCAATCTGTTAGAATAACCCAGATGTCTGTCATGTTTAAAATTTGGAAAATTTTACCTACTATCTGGATTAAGTGAGATGCTTTGGCAACTCTAGATCTGAATTCTTGCATGAAGAGGTTGGCTGGAGCTGGGCAGCAGCTACCCTCTTCAGACTATACATGTCGTCCCACTTTTACGCGGTTCCCAGGAGACTCACCTTACCTCACTCATTTACTTACCTACCTGGGCTCTTTTGGCATCTGCATTTTTAACCTTGACAGAAACTTTGGGTTTTAATATTAATGTGATTTAATTTCAGCCCGAGAAATTCCAGCAATGTGGGGTTTGCTTAAATCATTTGTAACTGAGATATGAGAACCAGATTTGCATTTTGGAAACTAGGACATAGTGTGAAAGATGGTTTTACAAATTCTGTATTAAATATCGTCATTGTCAGTGCTTGATCTGGTTTAACTATTGAGTCACTGTTGATATGTGTTACCTGGGAAGTTGAGTTTAGAACTAAAATAATGGGAAATACTACAGTTATGAATTAAAATGGTTGCCTTGCAGTTCTAATCTTGAGGACTTTGGGGAATGTGGAAGCAAATGAATATGAGAAATATGAGGCACTTAGAAATAGAAACAGCTAAGATAAGAAAAGTCTCCACATATGACCAGCTGAGAAGGAAAGTACTTACTTGCGGTTCTCTGTGAAATTACTGAAAAATAAGCAAACAGAAATCCATTTAATTTTTCTCAAATAGAAAACACATAGTATTATCTAATATATTTTGCTGGTGTCTGTGAGGGGAGGACTTAGTTGGGCAATGAAGGAGGCATTCCAAACCACCCTGTAGATTATTTGGTTTTAGATTAGTTGTATCGTGCAAAACTAGATGTAAGATTAAGCAGTGATGATGTAATGATGAAGTCAAAGGTAGAGTTTCTTTAAAGGCCCTCTCCGTTTATTGGACCTGAACAGCTTTGGGCATAGTATTAGGAAAAGACCACTGGATCTTTGCACTGCAATGTTTGAAAGAACACTGATGGTCTCTCTCCATTCGTCATTTTGAATTTCACCTCTCTCTCTTTCTCCGCCTCTCTCTCCCTTTCTCTGTCTCTCTCTCCACTCCCCCCAAATTCTACCTACCTGTTATTTCATAATATTGTTCAGTTTACTGTTGATGAATGCTAGCTTAGTCCCTCTTTTAATTAATATTTTAAAAAAAAGCTATAGGGCAAGCAGGGTAATAAGGAAATAAGAGAAGAATGGGGAACTCAAATCACTTGGACAGAAGTGAAATGAAGGGGACCACAGAGAACCAAAGTAGAAAAAGAGATGGAATACTTACTTATGGGTGTCATGCGTAGACCTAAAAACCAAATTAGAGATCAGTGAAGATTTCTTCGAAAGAAATAAGGTTCCCTCTAAGGAGGTATATTTGTGTAGGGGAGAATCTTGGACACAGCTCTGGGTCCAAATTATGATTCTATGATTATGTATTCTTGAGTAACTATTTGGCTCAGCTCCTTATCTCTTACAAAGGGGTTAGTGGAGTTATTCTAAGGATTAAATAAGATAATGTAATTAAAGTACCTATATAGTTCTATAGGAGGTACAAAGTAAATATATGTTTGAAATGATGTAAATATAACTTCCTTCTCAGGGAGAAGCCGGATGAGCAGAAGGCAGAGGAAGCTGGAAGCACTGAGTCAGGTAGCCGCACACAGAGTTGGAAATGAGCAGGGTAGGGACAGGGCTCTAAGACTTGCAGGAAGCAACAAGAACAACAGAAAGCGGTAGAAAAAGAAATCGAACTTACCACGGGGTGTTGAAGGTGGACCAGCTGAAAAACAGAGAGGTATCTTAGCAACTGTTTTTTCTCCCATGTTATTTTCCTTTCTATGTAGAGAGTTTCTTCTTGGTAGGTCTTTATAACAATAGGGAAAACTTTTCCTTTGGTGTTCATTTACTTTTAATATGAATCAGCAGAATGTAAACTTTCAAAAAATCATTAATAACTTCATGGAATTTTGATGATGGGAAGGTAAGTGGTTAAAGTAGTATGCACCCCAAGCCTGGAAATCTTAGCAGTACCAGGGAAAGGAGTGATTCTAGAATCCTACGGTGGCGAAAATACGGACTTACTGATGGCAAGTGAAATGAATCTAGCTTGTAAATACCAGAGAAAATTATCTCCTTTTTCTTTCCCCTTTCCTCAAATTATTTTTCAATTTAAGTCCCTTGTAATATGTCATTTTAACCTGCAAATAAACTTTCCGCTGTTCTTTATTTTTTAATAAAATAGTAAGTCTGGTTTTTTCCCATACAGCTATTTAAAAGATGAGAGAATGATGGGTCACATGAAGGCAAAACATGGAGGAAATAACAACTTTAAGTTGTTTAGGCTTAAATCCCGTAAAATCTCTAAAAGGTGATATAAAATTTTCTGAGACGTTTTGGAATTTAAATGTGGAAAAAGAGACCAGGTACGGCAGGAGGTTCAAATGAAAAAGGGTTACAGAAACTTCTATCTACTCCTTTCTCTCCTACCATTTTTTTTCCTTTTTAAGATAGTCTCTTGTTGATGGGCTTTGAAATTTTGTAAATTTTTTTCCCTCTGCTCTGACTTATCTCTTCCCTTTTTGCAGTGACAGATAACTGCTTGAAATCCTGCAGGGATTGTAAATCAGTAGTCTTAAAACTTTCTAGTACATCATTAATAATCCAGAGAGGCTTTGATAATGAGACAGCAAGAGGCCAACATGTATCTCAAGCCCTTTGTATCCCAGTATGGTCAAATAAAGACGGTTGCACTCCGCTAGAGACCAGTTGAGCCCTAAAGGAGAGAATGAAGTGAATACATAGAATTACTGATTTTGTGAGGATTCGGTTTGACGGAAAAACAAGCAGAGAGGTTTTTTGTTACCCTCTTCTTGTTTCTTTTCCTACTCATTTTATTTTCCACTGGTAAATTTACTAGTGATATACTTGCTTGAACAGTATTTTTAAATAAAAGGCACTAGACATTTCCAGAAAACTAATTATCAGCTGGTTGAATTCTGGATGATGGAAAAACAAAAAGGCTGAGAAAATAGAACTTTAAGTTCCATGTTGGAATTCAAGTTCTTGTAGGTATCAGTGGACTTTGATAAGTACACTGCAGAGAAACAAGTAAAAAATTTACTAATTGCCTGTAGAAATGACCTATCTAGAAAGCAGAAATGGTATCTATATCATTTTTCTCCCATTAATTTCTTTCCTTCTGCATGGAAGGTTCCTAATTGACATTCTTTAGAGTCACGGAGAACTTTTTTCTCTCATTTTTATTTTTTATGCGAGTCAGTGAATGTTCTAGAAACTTATTAGTAATGTATTTGTGGCTTTCTGCTTGTGGACGCTGCCGAAGAAGCATCGTTAAAGTCTCTCTTCTCCCTGCCATCATGTCTAAGTTACAGCCTCCTAAAAACCCCAAACAGCCGAGGAAGCTCTTCGTTGGAGAGTTGAGCTTTGAAACAGCTGAAGAGAGCCTGAGGAGCCATTTTGAGCGATGGGGAATGCTCACGGACTATGTGGTAATGAGAGATCCAAACACCAAGCGCTCCAGGAGCTTTGGGTTTGTCACATATGCCACTGTGGAGGAGGTGGATGCAGCCATAAATGCAAGGCCACACAAGGTGGATGGAAGAGTTGTGGAACCAAAGAAAGCTGTCTCAAGAGAAGATTCTCAAAGATCAGGTGTCCACGTGACTGTGAAAAGATATTTGTTGGTGGCATTATAGAAGACACCGAAGGCTGGATGCAGTGGCTCATGCCTGTAATCCCAACACTTTGTGAGGCTGAGGTGGGTGGATCAATAGGGCAGAAGATCAAGACCATCCTGGCTAACATGGTGAAACCCCGTCTCTACTAAAAATACAAAAAATTAGCCCGGCGTGATGGCACGCACCTGTAATGTCAGCTACTTGGGAGGCTGAGGCAGGAGAATTGCTTGAACCCGGGAGGCAGAGGTTGCAGTGAGCCGAGATTGTGCCACTGTACTCCAGCCTGGGCGAAGGAGCAAGACTCCTATTATTTTGAACAGCATGGAAAAATTGAAGTGATTGAAATTATGACTGACCGAGGCAGTGGCAAGAAAAGGGGCTTTGCCTTTGTAACCTTTGATGACCATGACTCCATGGATAAGACTGTCATTCAGAAATACCATACTGTTAATAGTCACAGTTGTGAAGTTAGGAAAGCCCTGTCACAGCAAGAGATGGCTAGTGCTTCATCCAGCCAAAGAGGTCGAAGTGGCTCTGGAAACTTTGGTGGTGGTCGTGGAGGTGGTTCAGTGGGAATGACAACTTTGGTTGTGGAGGAAACTTCAGTGGTTGTGGTGGCTTTGGTGGCAGCTGTGGTGGTGGTGGTGGGTATGGTGGCAGTGGGGATGGCTATAATGGATTTGATAATGACAGAAGCAATTTTGGAGGCGGTGGAAGCTACAATGATTTTGGCAATTACAACAATCAGTCTTCAAATTTTGAACCCACGAAGAGAGGAGCTTTGGAGGCAGAAGCTCTGGCCTCTGTGGTGGCGGCAGCCAATACTTTGCCAAACCATGAAACCAAGGCGGCTATGGTGGTTCCAGTAACAGCAGTAGCTATGGCAGTGGTGGAAGATTTTAATTAGGAAACAAAGCTTAGCAGGAGAGGAGAGCCAGAGAAGTGACCTGACCTCAGGTGATCCATCTGCCTTGGCCTCCCAAAGTGCTGGGATTACAGGTGTGAGCCAAGGCACCTGGCCAAAAAACACCTCTATTGGTGATGTTTTCCAAAGGCAAGCAAGAAGCTACAGGTTACAACAGATTTGTGAACTCAGCCAAGCACAGTGGTGGCAGGGCCGAGCTGCTACAAAGAAGACATGATTTAGACAAATACTCATGTGTATGGGCATAAAACTCGAGGACTGTATTGTGACTAAAAGTATAACAGGTTATTTCAATTTCTGTTCTGTGGGAAGTATAAAGCATTCCAAAACGGGTTTTAATGTAGATTTTTTTTTGCACCCATGTTGTTGATTGCTAAATGTAATAGTCTGATCATGATGCAAAAAAAAAAAAATGTATTTGTGTTTTGAGTAATGGAAAAATAAGGGAACAAGGAAATTGGAACTTTATCACATCACAATGGGGGTGCATACATTTTGGCTTAAGATATGTTAGACACTGCTGGAGACAATTGAGTTTCAATCATGAAAGGAGATAGTCAAACTTACAAGAGGATCTTGTAGCTGAAAAAGAGATAAATCAATGTGTGCAGGCTGCTGAAAGGGGAGCTAGTTTTCTTTTCTTTCTTTCTATTTTTTTCTGAGACTCAGTTTCACTCTTTGTTGCCCAGGCTGGAGTGCAAAGGCACAATCTTGGCTCACTGCAACCTCCGGCTTCCAGGTTCAAGTGATTCTTCTGCCTCAGCCTCCTGAGTAGCTGGGATTACAAGCGCCCGCCACCACGCCTAACTAATTTTGTATTTTTAGTAGGGATAGGATTTCTCCATGTTGGTCAGGCTGGTCTTGAACTCCTGACCTCAGGTGATCCACTCACCTCGGCCTCCCAAAGTGCTGGGATTACAGGCCTGAGGAGCTAGTTTTCATACTACTTTCCTGAAAGGAAATAATAGAAATGGCAATGGAGGGACCATCCTTCTTAGGGAAGGGGCATAGAGCGCTGTGCTGGGGAATGTAACTGCCTTCATGCCTTGCGGGGATTCTTTCTTCTGCTTAGGACATATAGGAGGCCGAGGAAAGGGAGATGGTTTATCTCTTCCTTTTTTGCAGTGAGGAAAGAGAAAGTCCTTTGGAAAGAAGACTAGAGAACTCAGGTTAGACTAGACCCTGAATAGTATTTCCTGGTAGGTTTGCCTCAATAAACTGATAAAACTTCAGTCTATTTAAACAGACTTCAGTCTATTTAAATTTTATTGTCTTTTTTTTCTTTTGTATTTATGATTAAAATTTGATTTTCTTTTCCTATTTCCTCCTCATTGTCTCCATTATCTTTGAATAGGCCCTTTAGAAACTACAAAGCACTTCAGAACTGGAAAGCTGCCCTTATTATTCTTTCTCTGCTACTTTAGAAAATTCTTCTATATTGTTATAGAAGCCATTATGACTATTTCTGGGGAAATTTTCTTACTCTTTTTCTTTTAAAAATGATAGCTGAGAATTATCAGTAGGTTGAAACCAGAAAGCATAAAAACTTGTCTAAAACAACTGCTCTTATGGCAGTAGACAGATCTAGGACATTTGAGACAAGGAACAGGCCCTCTAGACACTGTAGAAGATCAAGGAACCTGGGGGGAGAAGGATAGATAAGGCACTTACCACTGGGTCCAGTATATTTACTAAAAATAGAAACAGACACAAACACACACACATGCACACATTCTTTTTTTTTTTTTTTTTTCTGAGACAGAGTCTCACTCTTTCACCTAGGCTGGAGGACAGTGTCGTGATCTCGGCTCACTGCAACCTCTGCCTTCTGGGTTCAAGTGATTCTCGTGCCTTAGCCTCCTGAGTAGCTGGGATTATAGGTGCCTGCCACCGTGCCTGGCTATTTTTTGTATTTTTAGTAGGGACGGGGTTTCAGCATGTTGGCCAGGCTGGTCTCGAACTCCTGACCTCAGGTGATCTGCCTGCCTTGGCCTCCCAAAGTTCTGGGATTACAGGTGTGAGCCACTGCACCTGGCTAAAAAACACCTCTATTAGTGATGTTTTCCAAAGGCAAGCAGTGAAAATGATTTTCTCAGGAACTACTAAATCTCAATATTCAGGATTAAATATTTTTTATTGCACTGCTGCTGTACTGTAGCCTCTCTATAAGAACCAGATCTTCTTCTAGGATATTGTTAACCCTGTTTTAGCTACCGTAACCACTTCATTCTTGCTTTTCATTATAGGTGTTGGAGGTGAGATTGCTAATTGTATTCCTTTCCCCATATCCCCCAGTCTTTTTTTCCTCATCACTCTTGTTTCATTCTCTCAGCCATCTTTCTTTCATGTTCTTGTTAATTTCTTATATTCTTTTCTAGATTCTATTACATCTTTGCCTTGGGAGGTTATTCTAATGATTATTGACGAGCCACTATAATCATTATTAGAACAATGTCTATTATAAATTTTAAGGTAATGGGATTTCCATTTTCTAAAATATAATTGGTTGGCCAGAGAGATGATTAGTGTTAACCCAAACTGCACCATTTTGTAAGCTCCCAGCTATTCTGAAGACCTTGGTCAAAGTTAAACATTCCACGAGGGTTTGGGCTGTGAGAAACATTCCGCCTAACCACCTGGCCACAAAGTGGACAAAGGTCCAACTAAAGAAATATCTCTTAGCACTAGGAGAAATACCTAATGTAGATGATGGGGTGACGGATTCAGCAGACCACCATGGCATGTGTATACCTACGTAACAAACCTGCATGTTCTGCCCATGTACCCCAGAACTTAAAGTATAATGATAGAAATTAAAAAAATAAAAATTGAATATCCCTATCATATTCTGCCGGGAGAAAGTTCAAAGAACACCATGTTCTGTCAGAATAAGGGCCAGAACCACCTCGTTGTGGGAACATCTTATCAATATCCTGCTGGGCAGCAAGCCATACTGCCTGGGCCCCTCCCTCCATACTTAGAAGTACCCCCAGGCTGTAAGCAGCGGTGGGCACTGGCATTAGGCTGGCTCCCCACTTCTCAAGGTCTTAGGCTGGACATAAAGCCTGCATTTGCTGTAGAGCCACCACTCTCTCTGTGTCTTTCTTTAACCTGTGGCTTCCCTCCAAAACCTAACATTTAGGATACTGGGAATGAAAATCTGAGAAATATGATTTTCAGCTTCTTTAACCTAGATACTTAAACAGTTGGAGCCAGTCTCCTTCAGACACAGTAAGAAGCAACAGAGATAAGTTGATATATACAGGCAACTTACCAATAGGTCCTGGAGTTCGCACTAAAAAGAAATTCAAATTGGCATGTTAGTATGGTTATTTACTGGAGAGTAGATTTTTCACTTATTTTATCCTAGAAGTGAGGCTTTGAGAGGTAGAGCAGGGGAGAGGAAGTGATATCAGTTATGAGATCATTAGAGAGAATTGATCCAACGATGTTAACTATAGAAAAAAGGGTCCCAGCTACTCAGGAGACTGAGGCAGGAGAATTGCCTGAACCTAGGAGGCGGAGGTTGCGGTGAGCCGAGATCAGGCCATTGCACTCCAGCCTGGGTAACAAGAGCGAAACTCCGTCTCAAAAAAAAAAA